CAGCCCCCCCACCTCGCCGTACCCACCTCAGCCGCTTTGCTAGTTCCAGACGGCAGCAGGGGTCCCAAGGGCAGAACGAGCCCCTGGGCCTCCCAGCCCCCTCCCGGCTCTAACCACTAGACCCCACTCCCCGCCCCGGGAGTCCTGGCACTCAGCCCCACCCCACATGGGGCAGAACACGGCGCAGCGCTGCCCTCTGCTGGCCAACGCCCCTGGGCCTCCCAGCCCCCTCCCGGCTCTAACCACTAGACCCCACTCCCCGCCCCGGGAGTCCTGGCACTCAGCCCCACCCCACATGGGGCAGAACACGGCGCAGCGCTGCCCTCTGCTGGCCACCGCCAGAGACAGCAGGCCGGAGGATCTACCCGAAGCAGCCAACCTGAACCCTGGGCTAGTTCCCAGGGGTTGGGCTGGGCCCACGAGGGCAGATCCCCCCCCCACTGAGGAGGCTGCCTGGGCGCCGTCAGAGGGGGCCGGTCGGCAGCGTCTGGCCGAGTCCTACAGCGGGGGGATAATGACCCACAGATGTGGGGGAAGCTCGGAGGCGGGAGGAGAGCAGGACAGAGACCCACAACCCCCCTCCCTGGGTAACAGCCTCAGAAAGCAGAAGGTCAGATGCACGGGCCCATCAACACTGGTGTCCCCCCCCTTCCCTCCGCTTCCACCCCCCCGAAGTCACCAAAGCCCAAACCCAGCCCCGACTGCAGCAGGGAGTCCCACAGCTTAACAGCAGGGCTGCAGCTGGAGGCGGAGTCGACTGCCCCCGGCTCCGCCCCTGCCCTCACCGTGGCTTCCGGCGGTTGCTCCTTTTCTCGGTCCCGCCTCTCATCCTCCCCGATTCGCTGCTCCGCCGCCCTGGTGTCCCCGGATCGGCCAATAGTCTTCTCAGCTTCCTTCAGGTCTGTGAGGGTGACGCCCTGGGAGAGGGGCAGAGGGGTCAAAGAGGGGCATGAGGCGAGCCGGGACCCCGGCATGGCCAGAGGCCTGGCACCCCGGGGGTACAGGAGCAGAAAGGAAATGCTGAGTCCACAGCACCCCCCCAGAAGTGGGCCAGATCACTGCTCCCAAGAACCTGGGAGCACCGAGTCCCTGTTCCAACCACTAGCCCCCACTCCTCTCCCCTCCCAGAGAGAACTCCGGAGTCCTGGCTCCCAGCCCCTTGCTCTAACCACTAGCCCCCAATGCCCTCGGCAGAAGTACCTGGGTGGAGCGCCGGGACTGCCTCATAAGACGTGACCGGGCTTTGCGCTGTGACTCCGACTCCTCGTCCCGCACGGGGGTCTGATACGATCTGCTTGGGAGAGGCGGGTTAGTGAGACTCTCTGGGGTGGGGCGCAGGGGCCGGGAATAGGGGGAGCCCAGGCCCGGGGCTGGGATGCGGCCTCTCTGGGGTGGGGAACAGTTACCAAGCATGGGCTCTCTCCCACGCAGCACCGCCTGCCCTAGCCCTGCTCCAGCCGGGGTAGGCTCCAGGCTGGCAGGACGGGGGGCCCCAGGAGAGGGGTACCCCAGCAGACATGGTGCCC